GTCTGTTCATTGAGTACTCAAGTAAAGGTCCGTTAATGAATGTTGTCAAAGCCTTATCAGCATTGCTCCATCCAGTTGACCATGCTCCAGCTAAAAGCGCATTGCTTCCCTTCTCAGATTTGTCTTCAAACACCAACGGATCCATGGTGCAAGTTAACACATCACCTGAAAACAGAGATTGAGCAATAAACATGTACAATTTCAACAAGGATATGGCAATCTAAAGCTAAAAATGCCTCAAGCTGCGCCCGAATTTCAAAATTTCATATTGTTGAAGTTCAATGCATTAATGTAAATCAATTATGTTAGAGCAAAGTAATGCAGCAATATCAAAAGCATTAACAATAGGGAAAAATAATATTTCACTCAAATTCGGATAATCATACATATACAGGTATTTCAATTTTTCAAGTATTTGGAGGGTCTTTGGGAGATCATATCTCCTACACATATCCGATATGCATCCGACAGTGAGGAAAAGAAGGGGGCATTCAATGGAGAATAACCTGAAACTATTCTATTAGGTGGAAGAAGTGGAGCTTCAGGGTCCAAAGGCATGCTAAGGCATTTTTCCCAGAAAGCAGAAAAAGTAGTGAAGGGGCAGCCATTATCATCAGTAACATCCCAAGGTTCATAAAGTAAATCAGCATTGTAAGATCTCACTGTTACACCATGGGCTCTCAATATTTCCTTTGCTCGATGATCTCTAACCAAAGATATAGGATCTGCAAATCCAAAAATGAACAGCAAATTTCCTCTTAAAATGTTGAACCGGCAAGGATGTTAACGGAGATTTCACATTTACTCAGAATTTGATGCTTAAATGGAACATAATCAGAAACCCAAAATTTCAGAAAGGGCCATTTATACAAGCTGATGGCAATTAGTGAACAATCAGTCAACAAATATTATAAGAATCCATCTCTCCATCGATGCTAGCATCATAAAAGCTCAACTATTATATATAATCATCTTTTTGTATAGAAACTGGCAAATAAAGAAACTAAAAAATTAAAACTACTGGCAACCTTGTTAATGGAGATTTCAGATTAACTTGAAACATGCATGATGCAAAAAAAAAAAAACAGAAACTCAAAATTTATACAACAGCTGATTGCAATTAGTAGACAATAATCAATCACAATTATAAGAATCTATCTCCCTCTTGATGCGCCTAATAAGACTGTGTACCAGGGTGGAAATTATTGGTTTCTGGGTAAAACTGTCATCTTTCTTGCTTTTTGTCAACAAAAGGAGATTTTAAGCATTATTAATGAAGTATAATGGCGCAAATAGTATTTACTATATGATTATTATCTCCATTATTTTTCTGTGAATATCTTCTATATATGAAACCTGAGCGAAGAGGATTGGTTAATGAAATTGTGGGATACTCAACAAAACTGATGGGCGATATGCGGCCACAACTTTTTTTATTTTTATTTTCCATTTTTCTTCTCTATCCATCCTTTGTAAGAAAAACAAAAATCCACCCACCAACTCTCTGAAAAAAGTCTAATCCATTTGCTTAATTTGTGTATTATATACTTCAAAAGCCATTTTTGAATAATATAAGAGAGAGATTTGTGATTAATTAGTGCTTCTCTGAGAAAAAATTGAAATTAAAAAACAAAGCACTTAAAAAGATGCATATAATCAGTTTTCTTGAATCTGTGCCATTTTTTAGGGTACGATACATTCCTGCTCGCAGTGTTTAAATTATGAAAAGCTAAACTGAATTTATTTGCATCCGGTTCTATTGAAGAGATGACATGAATGATATTATCATCTCAAGTCTCAACTTAAGATTGCAATGGAAGCTTTAGACACGGGAAGGGGACAGGCAGGCGGCAGTTTGGTGTTTACACCTCTTCAAGTGCCTCTCCCTCTCCTTTCTTTTCTTCTTCGTATAAAAGTGATTTATGATGCTCTTGTACATCCATGGATCCACTTAGATCATGATTCAAATCTTTTTTGGTGTACTTATTTTGCGAGGAGAAAAGACACGGCAAAGGAGCATGGTGTGAACACCATGTGGCAGTGGTTCTCATATGTTTATATGCTATTCACGATCGATTAATGGTCCCCCGTTCTCAGTCTCAACCTTCTCCTGACCTCGTCAATTCAAGAATCCAAACAACAACAATAATATTTGGTTTCGCTTTTGTCTCCCTCTCTCATTACGTATATGATGGCATATAAATATATGTACATACTCGTAAATTAATTAAAAAAATCAAAGATTTGACAATAATATTCAATCCAAACATTAAATACTTAAAATATTTTCATTCTAATGGGGGTAGTTAAAGAAACTTGATTCAAAGCAACATAAGGTTAGATTTCGCTTGGTTATCTTACTTTTAACATCTTTTTAGGGTTTGTCTATTTTAAAATAGATTTGTATCATTTTTTTTTGGGTACAAAAGGTAGATAAGCAGGGTCGCCCGAAACAGCTTCTCTTACATTCTAAGCTTTCCTTCGCCCCGAGCATCCGCATCTAACAAGGGAAGGAGTTCGCTTGGAGGTTCATCCTACACTGTGGTGGAATCCACTTGATTTTTCGCCAAGTTGGCTATGCCGTCTGCACATCTATTCCCTTCTCGCCAAATGTGTCTCACCTCGCGCACCCAACCTTCTTTTACCGGCTTCATGCAGTCCTTTAAAATCACATTATCCTCATGGTCCTCATCCTGGTTAGCATTTAGCATATCGACAACCCACTTAGCATCCATTTCCGTTATACGACTTGTCGCCCCTAAGGACTTGACTAATATTAGACCTTGTCTCACGCCCCATAGCTCAGCTCTTACACTGCTTGTTTTCCCAATTTTTGTCATGAATCCTCCTATCCAGGAACCTTCATCACTTCGGATTAGTCCACCTGTTGTCGCTAACCCTGTCGATTTATTGTAAGCCCCATCTGTATTCAATAACCAGCAACTCCTCGGAGGCTTATTTCAACGAACCCAAATTGGTTCCTTTGCGATGTTTCTGCTCGCAATATTCGTTGCTACGCAAATATCTCTAGCTAGTTTGGTAGCCTGGTAGGAAACTCTACTAGGGTTCTCCACCTTACTATTGAACACTTTATCGTTTCTATCTTTCCATAAATCCCATAGCTTAGTCGAAAAGAGAGTTCCCCATTTTAGTCCATTTCCCCAGTCTTTATTCGAATGACAATTAACTTTTAACCATCTCTTTAACTCCATCATGTCAAACTGATCATTCTGTTGGTAGTTCCTCCCACACCTGCTTCGCTGTGTTACATCGTCGGAGAATATGCTCGATCGATTCCGATAGTCCTTGGCAGTTACTACAGTTTTCACCCTGCGTCATATCTTTCTTGGCTCTAACCTCATTGGTGTTCAATTTATTCAGATAACACAACCAAGTAAAGAATCTAATGTGTTCTGTCGTTTTGATTAATTTCCAAAGTCAGTCGGCGACTCCATATGCTCAATCAACTTACATGTCGATGCTACAGTAAACTGTCGGTCTTTCGACCATTTCTAGCGGATTCTATCACGATCCCGATCACTATTTGTTAAAGGTATAGGAATACCTTTTATTTGATTCATGGTTTCTTCCGAGAGGATGTGCTGAAGTTCTTGTTGGTTCCAGGAGTTCTCTTCCGAGATATACGTGCTCACTGTGTCATGATTTTCAACTGAGGTCATTCTCGGATAAGCCTTTATTAATGGATCATCTCCTACCCACCAATCATGCCTAAGCTGCATTTGGTTTTCCGATCTAACTAGCCAGCGGCTGCCGTTCTTAATAACGTTTCGAGTTCAAGATCCCTCTCTAGGTTTAAAATCTCTCAGTTGGCGTATAAGTTGTGGGTTCAATATGATCTATATGAGTAAAATTCTCTTCCCCTTCTTTAGGTAGTAATTATTCAAATAATAATAATATATGATTTTTCAAATAATTGGAAAAGCATTAAATATGTTTAAATCAAATATATATCCATATTCGATAGGTATATTAAACTCAGATAATCTGGTATCGTCGGATTAAACATCATTTTCACCTACTATACCCAGAGGCGGGACTAGGCATGATCAACATGCGCGATGGAACAGGGTCCCGGAATAGTAAGGGCTTAAAAAAATAGATTTATTACTATTCTTACAATAAAAAAATAAACAAAGTATTATGGATCAGTGATAAAAATTTTGGGCCTAAAACCATAAACCTGCAGTCGAATCTTATAAAGGTTTTCTAGTTAATAAAGTCATCTTAAAAAAAATTGAGATTTAAAGACCTCTTTTTAAGAATTTGCACAGGGCCTCCAACGTTCTAACCCCAGCCCTGACTATACCTACCCCATATATTTGCTCTTACTAGAATTTTCTTACGTCGTTGCAATTATATATTGTATATTAAATGATTTTTTTGTCCGTCTGGTTCTAAGGCTTTTGTTTGATTAATCTAAATCAACTCGCGTGCACACTTAGTTTTGTAGGTGAATATCCCAGCAGAGTTTACTTCATACACAAAGACAAACTTGAGACATTGCTTAAGCGATATCAAGTTACTTACCACTTGAACAAACACATATTCGTATTAAATGAAATCTTTGAATGATCATATGTATAATATATATATATATATATATAATGTGAACGAACAAAAATGTTTGATGTAAAAAAATTATATTATAAAATATTGATTTAATAAAATCTTTCAAGTAAAAAAATAATTAATAACTTTTATATAATATTTTTAAATTTATTTATTTATTTGAGATATAAAATATTTATTATTGTATTATAAAAATTATAAATTAATCAAAATAAAATAACCATAATCTTTATTTTATAAATAATTGATCATCTAAAGACTAAGGTTCAATTCAATTTTAAATTTATTCATTTTCTTTACTCAGTCTTAACTATCATCTCGAAATTATATACATAAAACTGCTTAGTAGAGCAATTTGATAATTTTTGTATAATTAATAACAATTCAATCATAATATATCATGTTCCTGCTCACTCAGATAATATATATATAGAAAATTAAAGCCTGAAATGCAGTGCAGATTTATCTACAGTAACAACAACCAATGGGAAATCCGAATCCCAACACTCAAAATCAAGACTCACTATGAAATAATCTCATGAATGATAGAGTCATCGAAATAGAGTTCAGACCAGTAGGGAGAGGCGGCTGCCGTGCCGTTGTAGCTCGACGCACTGCTCGTGTCTCCCGGCATATTACTCACTGATGCATCGGCTGCGGCAGCCGCCGTTTCCAGGGGGTCCTCTAACGATTGAAGAAGCCAGGACGATGAGTTATCAGTCAGGTTATCTGCGTGGCTGACGACAAAGTTGGAACAGTACTGCCCCAACTCATCGCTGTTCATCGATGTTCTCTTCTCGTTATTATTCAAAGATGTTTGGAAACCGAAAGGGACTTGAGGTGGTGGTGGTGGATAGTGGAGCAGTTGAGATTGAGAGGTTTCGTTAATATTATTTCCAAGTGGAAAATGGGTTGGATTTAATAAGTTGAGAGAAGCTGCTTCTTCCATGTCTGCAATGGCGCCACCGTAGTTGTTGGGCATGGAAGAAGATTGGAGGAAAAAGTGGAGGCATTGAAGCTTAGCCATGTGAGCAGCCTCGGCCTGCAACGGGTTCTCCAAGAGATCTTTAAGGCTGGCAAGGGCTATCAGCTGAGGCAAGTTAGCCAAGATATCGGTTCTGGGTTGATGAGTCATCGGGTCGATCCCCATTTGAATCAGCTTTTTCTTCAAATGGGTGTTCCAAAAGTTCTTGATCTCGTTATCCGTGCGGCCGGGCAGATGTGTTGCAATGGCTGACCACCTTTCACCCCCGAAAAGAAAAAATAATTAAAACCAAAATTTGAGCAAAAAGAAAATCGAAATCGAAACTGAGTAGTAGTTACTTGTTCCCAAGAATGGAATGCAAGTGGAGGATTGTTTGTTCCTCATCTTGAGAAAACTTTCCCCTCTTGATATCAGGCCTCAAGTAATTGGTCCACCTCAGCCTGCAACTCTTCCCACATCGGTTGAGACCTGCAATGGCGGATTTCAAGAATCCCACATCGGGAAATGAAAGCAGAGATTATTAGGGTTAAAAATCAAGAAACCTGCAAGCTTGGGCAAAGCTCTCCAGCTGCCATGGCCGTGGTCGTTTATGAACTGAACCAGCTTTTCATCTTCTTCGGGAGTCCACGGACCTTTCTTCAGACCATCTTCATCGCAACAAGTAGATCTCCCCATGCTTAATCTCCTGTATTCGCTTTGCTTAACTGCTTCCCTTTATATACACATTCTTTGACTACTTCCTTGATTTGCATTTTATAACATGTTTTCACGATTAAGTGTGTTTGGTTTGGCCATATGTGTTATTTATTTATTTTTATTCACCAATATATTTCATAAATATAAATTTAAGCAACATTTAGCAGTGAGAAAGAAGTCAATAAAATCTAGAACAATTTTAGATTCAATATTACTCATACTCAAGTCTAATCTATTCAATTTAATTTCTAATTTATAAGTTGAACAAATATTAGATTATTTGAATTGAATTTTAATTTCAATTCAATATTATTAATTTACCTTTATATAGTATAAAATAAATTTTCATATTTGAATTAGAGAAAATAACTTAAATCCATATATTTTTAATAAAAAAAATATCACTCAACAACGAATATTTAATTTACATATATTACTTTTTTATATAAAATAATTTATTCCCTCGATATTTGATCCTAACTCATCGTTGATTCAAACCGATCATAACCAATGAATTATTTCAGTTTGGATTGATCATCTTTGGTATTTAATTGAATTTAAACTTATTTATAAAAAAATAGGGTAAACTACACCAATGGTCACTGATATTTGGGTAAGTTTTCGTTTTCACCACTAATGTTTCAAAAGTTACAAATCGGTCATTAACAGCCATTAAGAGGCGTGACGAAAAATACAGTTGGACTGTTATCTACTGAGTTGGATCGTTGACTGCCATTTTGACTGGCTCTTCTTCTTCTTCAACCCATTCCCCATCTTCTTTTTCTTCACTTTTCTTCTTCTTTCTTTCTCTTCACTTTTCTTCTTTTCCTCTTATCACACACGTTACAACCCTCACCTCCAAAGGCCAAACCAAACATGGAAACTTGCTTCATTATCATTGTAACATCCTGAAATCAGGGTTAGTGACAAAATTGAGAATTTTAAATTTTGGGAATCAATTAGGAAATTTAAAAATTCAAGGATTTAAATAGGATTATTTTAGTATTGGATGAAAGGAGTAAATATGAAAGGATTATAAGGGCATTATGGTAATTTTAGCTTAAAAGATATTTTCCCCCTTTTATAAGAATGAAACACATGGGTTTGGAGAGTTATCTGGAACTCTTCTTTTTCTTCTTTCTTTCTTCTTCCCGTGTGTTCATGCTCAAGCCTCAAAGTTGAGTTTTAATTTTGATGGTTAATTCTTGAATATTTGAGTTTTGTTTTATTCTTTGAGTGTTATATAAGCTTAAAACACCAAGAGGAAAGAATTAGGAAGGAATTTCTATTAAGAGTTTAGAAATGAACTTTTTGTTATAAAAAGGTTTTTGAAGTTTTAAGGATGATTTGACTTGTCAATGGGTTAATTGAGAAGTTAAAGGTGATAGAATTGAATTTAGAACACATGGAAAAGTTGATGAAATTCTTTAATTCAAGAATTGTGGTGAATTATGAGAGATGGTAAAGTGTTATAGTGTTATAAGAAGGTTTACATAGGTATAGATAAGTTTTAAGGTATAAGGAGGGATTAATAAGTAGAATTGGAGAGATTTTCGTGCTAAAATGACATTTTTGGGGGCTATGTGCATCGATGCACATTCAATGTGTATCGATGCATCAAGGGTATTTCCAGAAATTGTTCAGTGTGTATCGATGCACAGGAAGTGCATCGATGCACCCATTAAAAAGGAAACATTGAATGCAATTAGTGCATCGATGTATAAGAAGTGCATCGATGCACCCCCCTTAAAATGAAAATATTAAAGGTGATTTGTTTATCGATGCATGGGTAGTGCATTGATATATTATAGAATGTACCGATGCTCTTCAATGGGAAATGGAATAAATCTTTCTTTCAGTCTAAGAAATTATAGATTATAATATATCAATGGGATACTGATAGTATAAATATATGATTGTGTAGACATTGATCGAAAGCAAAGTTCAGATAGGTCGGCAGAGTAAGATACGCAAAGAAAACAAGAGCTTAAGAGTGTTCATTGAGACCATGTGAGTACATGATAGTAAGTGTACATTAGGTTAAGAAATTAAGACTTGCGATGACTCTAATTCCGATATTATATGATATAAGTACTAAAACATAAACATGTAGTGATATGGTGTTAGATGTATGGTATATGAGTAAATGCATATGTTTAATTGTTGAATGCATTTTTATGTGTGAACTATGTAAATGCATGTATTTATGATAATAGGTCATGTGATCATGAGATATATGATAAAATATATATGAAAATAATATGACTCATATGTGCTTCTATTAGAATGATATATGATATGTTATGTATATGAAATGAATGACATGAATACATATTAGTATAATAAGATAGATTAGATGTTATAATTGAATGAAGGGATTGTATGAGAACATGTATATGCGAACATGTGTTGTATAATAGTGATCTATGAGATATTGATAATAAGACATAAGATTACATGCATATGTAATATAAGTTAAAAGATAAGAAATAATATGTTATATGCATATGAGAAAAAGGTATATGTGATGTGACCATGTGTGAAAAGGATGAATAATGTGAATTTCATGGAAAAATACTACGTGAAAGTAAACTACGTGACTATGTGATCATATGAAATGTGATAAAGAGCTATGTGAAAGAACTATGTGATATGAATATGTGAATGTGTAATGAGGTAAAAGATGATGCCCGTGTCATGTGTTATGAGAGCTATAGGTATAGTTGACATGCCAAGAATCGAAGGTCTACGCGGTCCTTCAGGACATAGTGGTCCTTCGAGATATATGTGTTATATGTGGTTCTTTGGGACATATACGTGGTCCTTCGAGATAAATTCTACGCGCCCCTAGTGGGATTTAGACGAGCTGTGGTGACAATATTGTGCACAACCACTATGTACTTACATACCTTAAGTTCTCAATAGTATGCATGGGCTTTGAAAAGAAACATAATTTGATATAATGATATGTGTGTTTCTTGTGAAATAGTATATGTGATATGTGATATGTATAAGTAATAAGTTAGGATCATATGATAGTAATGGTAACAAATGCATATGTGTAATGGTGATATGAGATGTTATATGGTTATGTATGATATGATCATAGTAATTATTCATGTATTGTTGTGTGTTGAAGTTATATTATATGTTTATGTTCAATATATGCTCATATAATAGAATGGAATTAATGACAATGAAATAAGTAAGGATAAACATGTTAGCGATGAGTTCAATAGGTGTATAAGTATAATGTGTATTACATAAGATGTTCATGCATTTGTTAATTTACTTTATATATTTACATATCTCACTAAGTCTATGACTTAGCGTGTAAGTGTCTTACACGTAGGTGTGGATAAGTCAGAAGATCAAGCTTCGGATCCGTAAAGCAGCATATCTCCGTGCAAAGTTCAGATCGGAAATATTTTGTAAAGAATGTCTTGTCATATAATTTGGTATGTTGGCATGTAACTAAGTTATTATATATATGAACGCTCTGATAGAGTCTGTTAAGGTTTTAAACAGGTTTATGTAAAAGAATTACTTTATAGAATAGAACTTTTAAATTTTCTATGGTTTTTATAAAAGTATACGCTTTAACTGGTCAATGTGACATCTCAAACTCGTATTGGGTCAGGTACAGGTTGGGGGTGTTACATTTAATGGTATCAGAGCTAAGATTTAGCCGATTCTAAGCTTAAACCGAAGTCAAAAGTATTTTGAAAAGATGTGCATGCCAATAAATAGTGAAAGTTTCTGATCTGATAGAGTCATGAGTATGTTGTCTTCTAATAAATTATATTGTTATGTATTAGATGTCTGATCGTGAGAGTCCTCACAGTGAAAGAAAAGTAATAGACCTGAGGGTAGTAGCAATTCACTGTCCTGGCCAGGCATGATGAAGAGCGAATACCTCCAGAAGTACCAGTGGGAGATCGAGGGTTATTTTTTGGGACGTTAAATGTTGTTTTGTCATGTTTTCAACCCTCTGCGCCCTCAGTTCCTCGAATGAATATAGCTAAAGAATTGAAAGGTTTAGGAGCACCTGAGTTTAAGGGTGAAGCTGAGGAAGATCCGATTGCTGCGGATCTTTGGTTGAACGATGTTAAGATTATGTTAGATGGGCTCCACTGTTTTGATGTGAAAAAATTAGATAGAATAGTTTCTTTGTTAAGGGGACAAGTTAGAATATGGTGGACTAATGTCACCATGAGATTAAGAAGTGATCAAGTGACTTGATTATTCTTCTTGGAAGAATTCAATCGTAAGTATATTGGTGGACAATATATTAGACAGATGAAGCAAGAATTTCTGAATTTGAAGCAAGGAATTATACAGTGTATGAATACGAATGTGAGTTTAATAAGTTAAGTCGTTTTGCTGAGCTTATTCCGACTGAGAATGATGTATGTGACTGGTTTGTGGAGGGTTTACACCCTAGGCTAAGAGAGTTGCTGATAGCCTTGAATTTGTCATCGTTTCAAGAAGTGGTTAATCGAGCTAAAGCTCTAGAGAGAGCTCAGAATGAAAGATTTAAAGAACAGAAAGTTCAGAAGTTCAAAATAATTGGTGCTTCGTGAGCTCCTCTCCATCCAAGAAAAATAGGGAATGGGATTCTCCAACTCATGATATGTTGGAATCAGATGTTTTTATTGATAGAAGATCAAATCTCAGTCAAGTCAGGCAATGTTCATATTGTGGAAAGAATCATACAGAGGTATGTAGAGTAATCTCCAAAGCTTGTTTTAGATGTGGGGATGTTGGACATCTCATTCGATATTGTCCATTTATGACTGAGGAGACGATGCAAAGAGAAAGATCTACTACAATACCTCAACGAAATAGAGGTAGAGGTCGTAGAAGGAATCGATCTGAGTCATTCACTCAACATGATATGCAACCATCTGCCCAAGTTTATAATTTAAGGATTTATGAAGATTTTGATGACCCAGAGATTTTGGCAGGTAAATTTTGATATCGTGGTAAAATAGTTTGGTTTTAATAGATTTGAGTAAAAACAATAAATAATAAATTGTTAAGAATTAATAGTATATGGTTTCCAAGTAAATAAGTTGTATGAAGGTTGTTTATAGAATGAGTAAGAAAGATATATATATATATATATATATTGAGTATTGAAGGAGAACTGTATATGAGAATAAGGTTAATAATAAGGGTAAGATAAGAATTGTTGAGTATTATAAATGATTGTTTCATTTCAAGGTAAAGTGAAAATTCGAGGACGAATTTTCTTTAAAGGATGGGAGATTTGTAACATCCTGAAATCAGGGTTAGTGACAAAAATGAGAATTTTTAAAATTTGGGGATCAATTTAGGAAAATTAAAAATTCAAGGATTTAAATAGGATTATTTCAGTATTGGATGAAATGGGTAAATATGAAAGGATTATAAGGGTATTATGGTAATTTTAGCTTAAAAGATATTTTCCCCTTTTATAAGAATGAAACACATAGGTTTGGAGAGTTATTTGGAACTCTTCTTTTTCTTCTTTCTTTCTTCTTCCCGTGTGTTCATGCTCAAGCCTCAAAGGTGAGTTTTAATTTTGATGGTTAATTCTTGAATATTTGAGTTGTCTTTTATTATTTGAGTGTTATATAAGCTTAAAGAAAGCTTATATAAGCTTAAAGAAAGCTTATATAAGCTTAAAACACCAAGAGGAAAGAATTAGGAAGGAATTTCTATTAAGAGTTTAGAAATGAACTTTTGTTATAAAAAGGTTTTTGAAGTTCTAAGGATGGATTTGACTTGTCAATGGGTTAATTGAGAAGTTAAAGGTGATAGAATTGAATTTAGAACACATGGAAAAGTTGATGAAATTCTTTAATTCAAGAATTGTGGTGAATTATGAGATATGGTAAAGTATTATAGTGTTATAAGAAGGTTTACATAGGTATAGATAAGTTTTAAGGTATATGGAGGGATTAATAAGTTGAATTGAGAGATTTTCGTGCTAAAATGGCATTTCTGGGCTATGTGCATCCATGCACATTCAATGTGTATCGATGCATCAAGGGTATTTCCAGAAATTGTTCAGTGTGTATCGATGCACAGGAAGTGCATCGATGCACCCATTAAAAAAGGAAACATCGAATGCAATTAGTGCATCGATGCATAAGGAGTGCATCGATTATGCATCGATGCGCCCCCTTAAAATGAAAACATCGAAGGTGATTTGTGTATCGATGCATGGCTAGTGCATCGATGCACATGTTAAGGGATGCATCGATACACTATAGAATGTACCGATGCACTTCAATGGGAAATGGAATAAATCTTTCTTTCAGTCTAAGAAATTATAGATTATAATATATCAATGGGATACTGATAATATAAATATATGATTATGTAGACATCGATCGAAAGCAAAGTTCGGATAGGTCGGCAGAGTAAGATACACAAAGAAAACAAGAGCTTAAGAGAGTTCATTGAGACCAGGTGAGTACATGATAGTAAGTGTACATTAGGTTAAGAAATTAAGACTTGCGATGAGTCCAATTCCGATATTATATGATATAAGTACTAAAGCATAAACATGTAGTGATATGGTGTTAAATGTATGGTATATGAGTAAACGCATATGTTTAATTGTTGAATGCATTTTTATGTGTGAACTATGTAAATGTCTGTATTTATGATAATAGGTCATGTGATCATGAGATATATGATAAAATATATATGAAAATAATATGACTCATATGTGCTTCTATTAGAATGTTATATTATATGTTATGTATATGAAATGAATGACATGAATACATGTTAGTATAATAAGATAGATTAGATGTTATAATTTAATGAAGGGATTGTATGAGAACATGTATATGCGAACATGTGTTGTATAATAATGATGTATGAGATATTGATAATAAGACATAAGATTACATGCATATGTAATATAAGTTAAAAATAAGAAATAATATGTTATATGCATATGAGAAAAAGGTATATGTGATGTGACCATGTGTGAAAAGGATGAATAATGTGAATTTCTTGGAAAAATGCTACGTGAAAGTAAACTACGTGACTATGTGATCATATGAAAATGTGATAAAGAGCTATGGTAAAGAACTATGTGATATGAATATGTGAATGTGTAATGAGGTAAAAGATAATGCCCATGTCATGTGTTATGAGAGATATAGGTATAGTTTGCATGCCAAGAGTCGAGGGTCTACGCAGTTCTTCGGGACATAGTGGTCTTTCAGGACATATGTGTTATATGTGGTCCTTCGGGACATCTACGTGGTCCTTCGAGACAAATTCTATGCGCCCCTAGTGGGATTTATACGAGTTGTGGTGATAGCATTGTGCACAACTTCTATGTACTCACATACCTTAAGTTCTCAATAGTGTGCATGGGCTTTGAAAAGAAACATAATTTGATATAATGATATGTGTGTTTCTCGTGAAATAGTATATGTGATATGTGATATGTATAAGTAATAAGTTAGGATCATATGATAGTAATGGTAACAAGTGCATATGTGTAATGGTGATATGAGATGTTATATGGTTATGTATGATATGATCATAGTAATTATTCATGTATTGTTGTGTGTTGAAGTTATATTATATGTTTATGTTCAATATATGCTCATATAATGGAATGGAATTAATGACAAGGAAATAAGTAAGGATAAACATGTTAGTGATGAGTTCAATAGGTGTATAAGTATAATGTGTATTACATAAGATGTTAATGCATTTTTTAGTTTACTTTATATATTTACATGTCTCACTAAGTCTATGACTTAGCGTGTAAGTGTCTTACACGTAGGTGTGGATAAATCAGAAGATCAAGCTTCGGATCCGTAAAGCAGCATATCTCCGCGCAAAGTTCAGATCAGAAATATTTTGTAAAGTATATCTTGTCATATAATTTAGTATGTTGGCATGTAACTAAGTTATTATATATATGAACGCTCTGATAGAGTCTGTTAAGGTTTTAAACAGGTTTATGTAAAAGAATTACTTTATAGAATAGAACTTTTAAATATTCTATGGTTTTTATAAAAGTATACGCTTTGACTGGTCAATGTGACGTCTCAGACTCGTATCCAGGTCGGGTATGAGTTGGGGGTGTTATAATCATCATCACTTTTTCTCTACTTATTGGAGCTCTTTTCATCTCTTTAATCAAGTACAAAGAAGTACCAAATTATAAGGCCATTCTTTTCCCATATGTATTACTATAGACCTAAAATTTTTACACAATTTTCCATCTTGTTTTCTTCTCTGTAAAGAAGCTTAAAACCCAATACGTTTTTAAATATTATATTGGGAGTTGAGGTTTTTTCCCTTTTTTAAAACTATATTTCTTTTCCATTTTCTGTCTCTATTTCCCCTGCAACTAGTTTCTTTTATATTCCCGTTGAATTTGTTCATTTAGTTAAACCTCTAAACCATTAAGTTTTCCCTCAAAATATTCATAACTTAATCTTCCAAATCTTTTTCTTTTTAACTGTCAATGATACTCTCCGCAACTATTACAAGTCTAAAAATGGAGAAGCGATTACAAGTCTAAAAATGTAAATGAATGCAGAAACCAGACAAGAGCCAAACGTGGTGGAAAACCAGTGCTCCTATTTTCTGATCTAGTGGTCCCTTTCACTCTCCGCAAACAACCGTTGATTCCAGACATGCACAGGTCCTAAAGTACTCCCACTCAAAATCTTAAAATAATCAATACCGCTCTTTTAAACCGATAGCTATACCGCGAATTATTATGCACCAGAAAAACCTAAACCTGGTTTTCACTTTATCCTGCTTTGCAACCCAACCAATGATCATGACTTTTCCAATAATGGCTACCACTCGAAAACCAGACCATTGTTAATCAAAACGCACTTTCTATTTAAAAAGCCTTTATTAAGACTCCAAAACCTTAAAAACCCACCAATCAATTCGCTTTCAATAGTTTCTGATCATCTCTCTCATTTTTGTATAGTTCCCAACTCTAAAATTTTACTGCATGGAAGCTGGTAATAAAATCGGTTCGATAGCTCATCCCAGTTCCTTACACCCCTGGTCCGCGAAGATGCCTCGAAACCCCAGGTGACAAAGAATTATGATGCATGCTTGTCATGTTGTTAGATTGCATTGCTGGCACAGAACCTTGTAAATTTATGACTGCAACTGAGGGTTCATTTAATTATCAAGAGATTGTGTCTGATTAATTTGTGTTTATGCTTGTTGCATGGAATGTATATGAGGTGGAGGAAACTGTCCTTGCAGCAGCATAGAGGCAGGCTTTCATGGCCTATTGGAATTCACAAAATTTATTATCTGCTTCTCATATGAACTCAACTTCTCCTTGAAAGGGGTGTTATATTTGCTTTGGGAATAAATAAGAAAGCTAAAATATGCTCCAACATGGTCTTGAATAGTTTCAACTTGTCAACCTGCTCAGACTTTGGCTGTTGTGGATTAAAATCATGCTGGAAAATAGAACACATAATTATCTTAAGCAACCCAAGTAAAATTGCAAACCACTATTCCACCATATAAGCATAAGTGAGACCACTAAACACTGCAAGAAGCAACACAAAAGTGGGGTGGGATCAAAAGCTTTAACATAAATTAGTGACTTGCTCTCTAAATTTTGTTAATAGATACAACAGCAGAGTATGATACATAAGGGTTTTATCACTCTTGAGATGTTAAAGAATGCAGAAGGGTTTTATCACTCTTGGAAGCAACGTGTGTGATAAGAGGAAAAGAAGAAAACTGAAGAGAAAGAAAGAAGAAGAAAAGTGAAGAGAAAGAAGATGGGGAATGAGTTGAAGAAGAAGAAGAGCCAGTCAAAATGGCGGTCAACGATCCAACTCAGCAGATAACGGTCTAGCTGTATTTTTCGTCAAGCCTCTTAACGGCTGTTAAATGCTAGTGACCATGTTGTCACAAACGATAACGTTAGTGACCGATTTGTAACTTTTGAAACATTAGTAGTGAAAACGAAAAGTTACACCAGTGACCATTGGCGTAGTTTACCCAAAAAATACTATAAAATGAAAAAAAAAAAATTAGTGTTTCAACTGAAAATATTATTTTTCAAGGCTTCTTGAACATAATTAAGATATGATTTCGTGAAAACGTGGACATGCGAAATTGGTCAAATCAATTAAAAGGAAAGCATTTCATGCACGCAGGCAACGAAGAATAATAATCGTCTGCGTCATACCGATTTCTTCTTTTTAATTCTTTTGCCTTTTTTTGCATGGCTTCGAAAATCTTTAACGTCCCATTATTTATTTTAGATTTCGCGACGAGACTTCAGTTATTTAAGAAATCTACATACCAAAGCAGTGCCCCATCTACATGTATCCGAATTTTTTTTTAATTAGTTAATTTATTCTATTTATGGTATCAATTTCGATAACAGATCTAAAAATATTTTTAAGAGAGGGTAACATGATATATATATACTTTGATAAAAAGAAATTGATTAATTTTGAATGATTAAAAATACATATTCGTAATTTTTTAATCATTAATATATATAGTAATTTTTAATTGTTCAACTTTAAATTTTCTATTTAATATATTGAAAAAAAACGTTTTCATAGTCTACGCTTTCTTTTCTTTTTCCAAAGAAGAATCCATACAAATAATTAATTATTCACGCAACATTAAATTTTAAATTTTATATTTATTTTCTAAAATATTTACTCGGTACTTTTTCATTTATTTATTTATTTTTACCAAATCAAAAGTGATTATTTTTATAAATTATAATTATCAGTTTTTTTATATTAATATTTTCACCCATAAACCGGTATACAATTGGACTAGTATTAGGGATATTCAGAGTACCGTATCTGATGAATTTTGATGCAATCAGATTATATAAGGCTAAATATTTTTCTTAAAAAAAGGTTTAGGTTCGAATTTGAGGTCGAAATTTTTGGAGGATAAATTTAGTTCAATTCAAGTTTGATTTTAGGGTAATTATATATGATATATTTATAGATAATTGCGACAATATTATTATTATATTCATTCATATCTCCATTTTATGATATAAATTAAGAAATATATACATATATAGGGGCGGAATTAGGAGTTTATTAAGGGGATCAAAAAATTAGAGGGAATCTAACAATATCAACATATCAATGATCATATAATAATATTTAACTTTTTTCAATTGAGAGACCCAATAGAACTTATTTTATTTATTTCCTAAAAATATATATTTTCTTTTAAAATTAATAAACATTAAAAAAAGTTGGGAGGGTCCCAAGCTACTCAGATTATATCATGTCCGAGTTTTATCCCAAAAGAAGAATCTAATGATATCACGGTAAATCCGAGTTAGATCAAATTTTGGGCGAAAGGTTATTTTTATTAGATTAATCAAAACCAGACTCATGTCCATCCATAACTAATACATATGATTAGTTCTGTTGCTATTGTTGTAAATTTTGTGTGCTCTAATATGAGGCGTAGGCTTCTATGAGGGCTTCCTTATGTTTTGTTTGGGCATAATACATATGATTTTATTTATGGATACATAGTTAAATATATAAAATTGCAAATATGTATGGAAATCATTATTTAATAAATAATCTAAGGGTGAAAAGTAAAATGCTTATTCATCATGACAGATATCTAATTTGTTGGAAAAAAGACAAATGAGGATAATTTGACCCATTATTATACATGGTTAGAGGAGAAGAGGTTGGTAGAGCCAACACCCCAAATCAGCACCAGGCTTTTATTATAGTTTTTAAATAAAAATACCCATCTTCTACATTTACATCCGATAGATATTCGAAAAAGAATATATAGATACAATTTAAAAAATATATAACAAAGTATGTACTTCAAATATATATTGATAAAGGAATATGAAAATGTGCAATAGAGACGGACTTATTAAAAATAAATAAAATAAAGATATGATATAGAGAAGAAAAAACAATAAAGAATATCGGCAGTCGTAAGTTGGCGTCGCCGCTGATCAACAAAGACGTAAAAAAAGAGATGAACGACACACCAATGAGATAAAACTAGGTTTTTTCTAAAAAATTCAATCACACGTATTTATTTTGTGATTAAAATTGATAATAATAATAATAATAATAATAATAATAATAATTAGGATGAGTCTGTCACGTTCGATGAGCACTATTGAGTATCACTAACGATGATAACCGTTGAACACCATTAATTTAATTTATAAAAATTGAAAATTCTAAAAGGCTCAACGTATAATTATAAATTAATTAAAATTTTAAACGTAAATGATTTAAAATAAAATATTAATTACATTATTTTTCATAATTTTCAATATTTTTAAATAACTTTTAAAGGTAAATTATAATTTTTTATTAAAAAGATTATAGAAAATAATGTAATTAATATTTTATTTTAAATTTTTAACTAAATTATAATTATACTTTAAGTCTTTTTAGAATTTTAAATTTTTATAAATTAAATTAATGATGTTCAACGGACTCTTCGAACGTTGTAGAATTTTTCTATTTATTATATCTAACGTCATGATTGATCCATCATAACAAAAATTGATGAATTGAGGAATGGTATTAATGTATTTTTAGATTGAATTTATTTCTTGATTCTTATTTCTGAAAGAATAGAAACTTAACTTAAAACATAAGATAAATTAGAACATTCAAACCTAAACTCTTGTCTGATTTGTCAATGTTGTTAGTGTCGATGTCATTTGCCAACAGCTCCAAGAGTGACACCCATGTTTGTACTCAATTTTTCCTCTCTTTCCAAACAAACTCTAACCTAAGATCTCTCTCTCTCTCTCTCTCTCTCTCACACACACACACAATGATAGTATATATATATACTCTCATTTTTCAAACCCTTGTTACCTGTACAGGTAACGTATTTAATTATTTAATTTTTTTATATAATTTACTTCTCTGTCATATAGAATTCAAACATGATAAGATAATAATATTTTATTTAAATTAATATTCAAATAATAATAATTAAATTCGATGTAGATAATATATTACTTTAAATTTTAAATTATTTCTGAATTTATGTTCAAATATTACATAAAATGAAAATATATTACCTTTAATCAATCTTTTCTCTTATCAGTTTGATAAGAGTTAAAAATTTGGGTATATGGCACAGGTGCCACTCAACTATAGTAAAAAATCATTTTGACCATCGATGTTTCAATTTGATCAAACAGACCACCAAACTATTGAAATGGTTCAATCAAGCCGCTGACCGTTAGCTTTTAACGGTGGAAGTGATGTGGCAGTTAAAATCTAACCCTCAGAATGACTCCTCAGTTAATTTTTTGGTATAATTATATATTTGGTCCTTGTTACTTACTCAAGATGTTAATTTGATCCTAATTTTATTTAAATTCAATAAATTTAATCCCCTAATTAAATTGCGACACGTGTCGGTTTCTGATTGGAAGAAATAAATATTAAATTAAAAATAAACTAAAATAAACTTAGCCTTCCAATTAGAGACTGGCACGTGTCGTAATTTAATTAGAGGATTAAATTTATTGAATTTAACTAAAATTAGGATCAAATTGACATATTGGGTAAGTAACAAGGACCAAATATATAATTATACCAAAAAGTTAACCGAGGAGTCATTATGAGGGTTAGATTTTAACTGTCACATCACCTCCACCGTTAAAAGTTTACGGTCAGCGGCTTGATTGAATCATTTCAATAGTTCGGTGACCTGTTTGATCAAATTGAAACATCAATGGTCAAAATGATTTTTGACCATAGATGAGCGGTCGCCCGTGTAGTTTACCCTAAAAATTTTCCTACTCAATATTTAAATTATAATGAATATTTGATATTTTTATTATAATGAGTGGGAATATAAATGATATATAACTAGATACTAAAAAGTTGGTCCTTCAACACAGGTTCCTTGTCGGGTGGACCTTGGTGTGATTTGAACAAATAAATAAATAAATAAATAAAACAGTTATATAATATATTATAATACAAACCAATTAAAATAAAGTTCAGTTTAAACTTTCAATTGTCAGTTAAACAAACCGAATTGCTTGATTCATCAGGTTTCCAACGAATGCATTTAAAAATCTGCATTTACCGACACATAATCATGCAGATGTGTATTACATCTTCTAATTAAATTTATTATAAATATAATACTCAAATTCAAATTTTAAACTTTAAACTTTATTTTTTAAAATTATATTTTTTTTATCAGTGCTGAAATAATGGGAATAAATGTCAAAGTGATCAGAGTTTTTATTCTCAAGTAATGTATTTAGTGATCAATTCTAATGCAGTGTTAAAATTAATTAGTCCAAAATTTTAATAAATGGTTCTTCCTGGTTCCAATATATATATATATATAAATTGTTTCCCTTAATTCAACAGTAGCAAGTAGTCTGCCTGTAATCCACCTTCAGTTAAAGGCAAGAGGATGAGGGAAGATGGCTTGTGGAATAAGGTTGTCCCCGGGAATTGATAAAACGGGAACAGTTGGAAACCCATTTCACTAAATTTGTTGTTAAGTCCCCCTAATGGATAACCTAATCAGGACCATTTTCCACTTTCATCAAACACCAAGCAATCTTACCTCACTTTAACTTACCCTAGCTATCAATCTCCCACCTTTCTAAATTTCTTAATTTCAAATATGATACAAAAATACATTACATTCTAATATAACCTGAATATCTATGTGATAAAAACGAAAGTTATTTTTTAAAGCAAGTCTAAATATATATTAAATGTGAATATTTAATATAAATAAATCAAACAAAATAAGAAAAATGGAACCAGATAAATCAAGTTAAATGTCTGGTAAGACAGAATAAACAAAATCAAAATAATTAGAGTGAACTGCTTGAATTATTATCTACCCGAGATGTGTGGGAGGAGATTTAGGAGCTTCAACCATTGAACTAAATTAATTAATTGGTTAGATTATAACATGTTTTATTTATTTTATTGATTAAAATTTTATAAAATAAACTCGATATCGAGGGATTTAAACCCTGATCTGATGAGGTGGGAGACTATATTCTTAAATGCTACGTCAAGTTTAATATTTCATGAAGGTTGACAATATATTATATATAGCTTAAACTGTCACTAATAAGCAATTAATAAGATAATATAAAATAGTATGTTTTTATTTTATTGTTATACAAAAATTATGAATCGCGATAATAATCTAATGTGATAGGTATCATATGTTTAAATTGTGAATCACGATAATAATTTAATATGGCATCCTAAATCCTCAAAATTATTTAAATCAAATTTGGATGTTACAAGTGGAACAAATTTTATAATACTAAGTGCAGTGACATGTGGTGTTTGATAAAAGTCGAGAGCAAGAAAAGTAAGCTAATCATGTCAGATGTTACAAGTATTCCTTTAAAAGTCTCTAATCAATACCAACCAAACTTATTATATGTTAAAGAAATAGTTATTATTCTTAGTAGTCTTAGGTTCGAATACTAGAGACGACAGAATATTTAAACATTATTAAATAATTGAAAGTATTTAAGACATATATTACAATTTGTAAGCAACCTAAATTAATCCAAAAAAAATCCCCAAACAAGTCCAAATTGTGAATGGTTTATTTACAGGCCTTAAAAGTGGTGATTATAAAGACATATACTAACAAGCTATTATATATATTAATATATATACTAAATAGGCATTTTGAAAATAATGAATTAAAAATAATTAAAGGGAATAAAAATTAAATTTATTAAATTTAAAACTAAAAGTTATAAAAAGGAATATATAAACCTACAAAAGTTGGGGGATGACACCTCTCAAATTACAATCATGAAATGAAAATGGAAGAATGAATTACACAATAATAAAACCTTGGATCTAAACTGAGCTGTTCTATTTTTATATGACCCAAACTAAAATTGCTCTCGAATATTCAACCATTGTTATTCGGTTTAACTCAATAATATCTCTAGTTTTGAATAGATCGAAACTTAGATATAGAAAGGTAGATTCACCTTTGAATAGTTAAAATCCCTCCAAAAACAATGAAAAAAATTCAAGTAAGTCCCTAATATTAAAACCTTTGAGTTATGACTGGTGAAAACATTTTTTCCCCATTAATCTTCTATATAGCCCATTAAGTGATTACATGATAAGGGACAATATAAACGATGTAATGTTACTAATGTGACAGCTGATATTGAAAAATAATGACGTATAAAAGATTTAGTTTGATATTGATTTTTTATTGTTTTATAAATACCTTTAATTTTTTAAATAAAATTACTATTTAAATATATAAAAACTTATTTAAACAGTATAGAATGCTATTAAAAACATAAAAATTATAATTATGAAATAATTGAATAAAATCATAAAATTTATAAAAAATATTAAAATCATAAATTTACGAAAGTTCATTTATAAATTAAAAACATGTTACATTATTCAATTTATAAAAAAATTGTATTTATCACACACCATATGTGATACTTTAATGAAAATATTAATTTATTAATGATTATCATATGTGATATATAATTATTTTAGATATATATTTGAAAATGTAATTTTTATAGATTCTTTTTAATTATTAATATATCAACAATTGCAAGGTATTTGAATATATATTGTTAAATGGTTGAGAGTTTTAGAATAATACTACTACTACTTGTAATCACTCTAGATTAATAAAAAAACTCTAAAATTAAGCAAGAACATTTGGTCAGACTAATCGATTGACTAAATTATTTGTTTTTTGTTTCCTTATATTTTCTTAAATCATGAGATTTATAACTACTGAAAATGCTATCTTTTTTGTAAAGTTCCCCTTCCTTTTCCTCTTTTAGGGTTGTTTGATAAAATAAAATAATTAAGGGTTGAATGATTCAATGGCCTGAATGATTCAAAGGTTTTGTATGAATTAGTTCTGAATATACAATCTGAATTATGAATATTTTCATTTTTACCTTCATAATGATTTACTATATTATAAGATATGATTGTTTAATAAGACAACATGTGAAAAAATAGGTATTATGGTAAAATACCGGGTGCTTAATGATTCAGAATGTACTTTAATGATGAATCATTCAGCTGTGTTTTGTTGTTTCATTCAGCATAGTCTTCATTCAGAGGTGAAAATCAAACACACTTAATGCTGCTGAATGGTGAACGGTTCAACATTCAGTGCTGAATAATTCCATTCAGCAGTAAACAAACTGTCCCTAAGTAAAATTAAGATTATATTTAAAATTTATATTAAAAAAACACCTCAAAAACTATTGGCTCAAGCTCTAATGCTGACTAGGGATAACAGTATATTCCAGCCCAAACCTAGATTTGGCTCAAGAATTAGGGCTTAGCTCTAACAACATCTTAAATTACTAAATCACCCCAAATTTAACTTATATATAAGGACGTATTCGTCTTTCCGCATGTCACTGATACTCAAAAGGCACTAAAAAAACCCTACAAGAAGCCAAGCATCAATCAAATAAACTGAAAACAAGCGATAGCACTGAAAAGAAGAGAAAGAGATGAGATTGTTAACTCACAACATGTTATCGTCGAACATCAAAGGGGTAACCAATGGTTTCCCTCTGAGGATCCAAGTGGAGAAAGTGGTGGAGAAGGAAGTCGAAATCAATCACGATTTCCTCAGGAACATATTTCCGAAGATCGATTGGAAAGCCCTCTCCGATGCTTCGAGAATCATGGGGTACAACGAGCTCCCGGAGGTGCCGCCGGAGCCGTCGGTGTTGGAGTCGGACATCGAGATTTTGAGGAAGTTTCATCATGCCCTGTTAGAGCTCCATCTCGAGGAAGGTGCGCTTCTTTGCCCCGAGACTGGCCGAAGTTTCCGGTTAATAAGGGTATTCCGAATATGCTTTTACTCGAGGATGAGGTTTGAGAAAATGGTTTGGTGTTTGATACGGTTGCGTTTTGGGGATTATGAGTTTTAATTAGGGTTTCACCTCTCTCATTTTGTGTTTGAATATTTGAATCATTGTATGGATCTGTTGTCTTAACAAATAAAAACAGCGTGAATTTGTTTGGCAAATTGAAGATCTGAAAACAAACAACTGTATTTCCTTTCAAAATCAAAATCAATTTTTTTTCGGCAAATTTCATGTCAAAATGAACAGAAATATTTGAAGAATTTTTAAGCCGAGGCTAGTTTGCCCAGTAATTAATAGCAGTTACATTCATCGTCGATAGAGATATCAAATGTCAACTTCATAAAGAAAGTAGAAATCAAAATAACGAAGATTACTTGAAGAGTGAGCTCCATTGATCCCACACGGTTCCTTAACAAGAGCTAACCTCAGATTTCTATTTCTATCATCATCTTCTTGATTTTACCTCAAGTTCAAGAAGGTCAAATTACGATTTTACCTCAAGTTCGCCGTTTTCTGCAGATTCGAAGACGCTATTAGAAGATGATTTCAGTGAAGAAAGCAGAAACGCAGCTTTGGCACATGGAACTGCGATTTGTGGTTTTGGAGTACCGTCTATGATTTGCCCTTTGGTTTCTTCCATTTGCTCTTCCTAAATGAAATTGAAAAGCTGGTTTTGAAATTTGAACTCTGATAAATCCTTAAATAGTGTGGATAATGCGAGCCAAACCCCGGTGTTTACAACTTTATTTTTGGGACTTCTTGATTTATTCTAATGAATCAGACCAAGCTCAAGTAGTCAAAATTCGAATTGAAACAAAATTTAGGTTTAGAAGTTCAGCTCGAGCACGATCAGACATTACTCTTAGAGATTGAACTACTCAATTAAGCTCATTTTATAAATAAAAACTTAAATCTTTATCTTAAACTTTTTATAAACAAATTAAACAATCTTAATGGTTAAAATGATAATTGTTATATTTAAAGATCGAAGGTTCGAACACATCGTTTATAAGGGTGTTTGAGCCTTCATTATCTAATGATTGAATCTTTTAAACAAATATTACATCCAAATTAATTAAAGAAAAATTAACCACTCATGTTTGAAGTCAAATTTAAATTTAAATTCTTAAATAAAAGTATTATTCATAAAAATTAAAAGTTAGATTAAATTTGATTCAAGAAAGCATTAAGATGCTTAAATTTGATTCCCTTAATAACTCAAGCTCTACCTCAAGTGAACTGTATTCAACTCTATGATGGTTCTTTCCTAAGGGTTTTTTTTATATCTTTTTCCATTTCCTAAGTTGACCTCTTACTTTTTCTTTTCCCCTCATGCCCCTTTATAATTTGAATTATATTAAATTAGACTTCTAAAATCACTTTTAGCTAAAAAAAAGCTCTCTTTTGACCGCACAATTAATGTCAAACGAATAAAACATAAAAAAATACAATAGAAACGGTAGATTCAAACCAACTACAAAAGTTAAGATTTGAAACTTTTTCATTTTCAATTTTACGGTTGAAACAATGGTTATTGACTCAAACTAAGAAGCCGAAAAAACCATGCTTTTACATTAAAATAGTTCGTTTGGAAAAGCATTCCTGTAACCCTTATATAGTTTTTTTTTTCTGTTTCTTAGATAACTATTTTATTCACCAATACTTATAAGAGAAATATCATATTTATGTAATTATTTTTTATTTTTTATTTCATCCTGTAGTTTTAAATATTAGTTATATATTTAATAAAATTAATGGATATTATTATTCGTTTGGAAAAGCATTCCTGTAACCCTTATAAAGTTTTTTTTCCTGTTTCTTATATAACTATTTTATTCACCAATACTTATAAGAGAAATGTCATATTTATGTAATTATTTTTTATTTTTTATTTCATCCGTAGTTTTAAATATTAGTTATATATTTAATAAAATTAATGGATATTATTATTAAATATTTGTAACCGAATCATACTCAAGCATTAAACATTTTTGAGTTGTATCCAAGTAAAATGTTTCGTTTACATTCTTAGGAGTTGTTTGTTTGATCCTGAATAGAACCATTTAACGCTGAATATTAAACCGTTCAACATTTAACATGTTTGTTTCGCCCCTCTAAATGATTCAGTGTCAACTGATTCAGCAAAACGGTATTAAATGATTCAACATCAAAATATATTTTGAATGATTCATAGTCATTATCAAACAGCATGCCACATTCAAAGCTAATTCATACAAAATCTCTGAATCATTCAGTATTTAAATCATTCAACGCTTAATCATTTTGAAATAAACAAACAACCCCTTAGTTAACATTATTATTTGCGTCTTCCTTGTATTTAAGCTTAGAGGTTAAGTCGCGACCAGTGTCAAAAGGAGGTCAATTAAGAACTCACACTAACCGAACAATTACAATCAATGTACCAAAATAAGCAATAAAATTAAATCTGAAACAGCCAAAGACCTTCACTAATACGGAATTGATAAAACACAAGGCCATGGACTAACCATGCAATTAGCAATGGTCCATAGCTCATTTGACATGTTAAATCCTAAAACATAATTCCCAAAACCCCACAATGAAAAAGGTCAAATAATATAATCACACCTCCATTGAAGAGAGAACCGAAAAACACCCGGAAAACAGAGCAAACTCACATGTTAGACCTAAGATATTAAACCAAAGCAATGCTGCTTTCGCCGCCAGGGGGTTTGCGTACACCACCAAGGTAGTCTCGAGACTCGAGCTTCCCGTCTGCAAATATGTTGCTGCCACTTATCTCCCGCAATTTTGCTGTACTAAGTGGTTTCTCGGCAGAACCTGGCGGAACATCACCCTTAAATATGTCATTACCTGAAAGCTCAGCGAATTTCTGATTGTGAATTTTCTTAGCTGTCTTAACCACAGCATCCTCAACGCCACCTCCAGCAGCCTACAAAAAAAATCATCCAAGTTCAAAAACAGGTTAGATATTCAAATTTGATTGTTGATGCAAATCGAACTAAATGAAAACATTTGTGTACTTAATGATTGTGAAAGGAAAACTTCAGGTACAACACAGTCCCTGACACCCTGTACAAGCAAAATTGAAGCACAGGAAATGTATTTCACCTATTTATTGAACTTTCACCAAAGCACAGGTATATGATTCATAACTAGCTTAGGTGCAATTTATTGCATCAAGCACAATACGTTCTAGCATTGCCAAAATTCAGTAAGCAGTTTTGACATGTACTTACATTGCTAGTATGAGATTCTCCCATGTCAAAATTGTCCTTCAATGCCAATGCACGTACAGTTGTTGGCCTCGGTAAGATTTCAGATGGGGGAGCAAAGATGTCGTGTCCACTAAGCTCCCTGCACTTTGCATCTGAAACCTGCTGCTTCAACTTTGAATCCTCACTTTCTAACGTTCCACTCAGCTCACGTTGCTTTGCAACTTCGGGAAGAGTAGTTGGCTTTCTTGGGGAGATACTCTCTTCCTCATCAAACGAAATGTGACTAATTCCAGCTAGCGCTTTCTGATGGTGCCAAACATTGGAACATTTAACTAAAACACTACTTGACACAAATGTAGTATGCTCTAAACATTCACATAAATTACAGTATATCATCGTAACAGAATTTGGAAACAAAAGAATTGGACAGGTACCTGGTACATTCTTAGTCCTGTTTTGGGGTTTGAATCAGGATTGGCACTACCTGTTTCGGCCTCGTCATTTTCTCCGTTGGCTGCAAAAATACCACTACCAGTCATCTCCTTCATTTTGTATCCAGAGGGAGGTTTCCTATAGCATCAATGGCAGTTGCAGAGATAATTAGATAAACAACATAAAGAAGATGCAAAGTTCATCGACTAACAAATATGCATCAGAGATGGATACTTCTAGGTTAATAATGAAGAATCAAAAAAGATTTGAACTGAGTTTTACTGCCAGTAATTTCACCAAACTAACAAATCTTAAATAACTGATCCTCGCAAAGCATTATGTAATTACCCAATTGAAGAATACATTATTGATCCAGTACGCAAGAAATAGTTACAGTTAGATCTCGTTCAATGGTTGATACATAAAAAAATGGAGATCCGACGGATCACGGAATAATGGATGGTAAATTACAGCTAATAAGGAAAGAATGCACGAAGAATTGAACAGATCAAACTTGAAGTTTTTAAATTACGCGCAGATTTGACAAAGTTTCCAATTTTCCTCAAAATTTTCAAAATAGGATTTTTGAGATTATATATATCAAAACAAAAGAAGAGTTAAAAATTTCCAAATAAAGCAGATCTCACCGTTTGTTTAAGCTTTCAAATTCTTCGTCAGTCACTTGACCTCCAAATACCACTTTTTTTATCCCATCCGACGGCTACCATTAATCAAAAGACAAAAATCAATCAAAAACACTAATTCACCGCCCAAAGTAAAAGTGTTTGGGGGGGGGAGAAGTACCTGGAAAGGGCGGGCGGGGCGGGCGGCTGAGTCCGGCGGAGGAGTCTCAGACCAAGTGAGCAGATCTGCTGTAGAAGTATGTGGCTTCCTAACAGGAGTGTTCCTCTCCATTTCTCTCTCTCTCTAATTCCACTCTCAAAACTACTGACAGAAACGGAAATGCTTACAATTTAATCAAACGAAAGCCTGCGGTTCCTCTATTCTTACGCCTCCTCTGCAACAACAACAAAAGGAGGGCAGTAGGGCACTGTTTTCAGAGGTGTGGAAGATTGAAGAGAAAGATTTAAAATGGGATCTGAGGGAAAGAGAAAGGTGGATATCGACGAACCTGTCCAAAATCCTGATAATCCCTTGATCTGGAACTTTCTTTTGTGCCTTTTTCCTTTGAATTTTGATCTCTCCTCTCCTTTTTCTTTTAAATTTCCATTGATTTGCTCAAATGAATTTATACATTGAAAATGAAAAAGTAGAGTAGCTACTATACTCATTTTTTTGAATATCTATACGCCCTACTATTCCATCTAAATTTGAAATTCTGATAATTCTTTATTATTATTTTAAACTTTTCCCCTGCCGTGCTTATAAAGTATTTAGTGATTGAATTTACCAATAAAATATGAACATAACAAATATTTAAATTATAAAAACAAATATGCCCACCCTTCTTCTTCTTTCAATCAATTTATGATAAAGCAAAAGCTGACAGGCATCTACTACTTTTACGTCTTCAACAATTTCTTTTCATTTCCAATTTTGCTAAGTTCTACTTCAATATTCCAAAACAATGATGTGTTTATGGATACGAAATTAAATGTTAGAAAGACGAGTTTGTATGTTTGAGAAATTATATTTTACAATAATAGATACAAGAACAAGAGATTATAAATATTTTATCCTTTGGGACTTGAGATATAAGTTAGGTCTTATTGTGATTGAATTTTGAAACCAAAGGGAGAAAATAAGAGAGTAGCATGGTGAAGGTTGAATTTAAATTTTTTCAATTAATTATTTATTTTGAGAGAGATAGAGAGAGCATCGTTTTCGCTTTTTCTCCGTTGCGTTGTCATCCCCGTGTGAGCATTGAAGGGATTGTTTGTAAGCATTTGGACAGCCATTCAATCATCTCACCACTCCAAACCAAATCATTCTTGTGGACGTCCTATCTCTATGTTTCACGTGCGCTGAACTCAGCCACCCAGCTCCCATCATTCCAACCCGATCTTGGATAATACACTATATATTTATATTCCATTCATTCATAAATTAATTTATAAATTGGGTATAATCAAATATTTATAAGAAATATTTTCTTAATATTTTTTTTATCAATATTAGATAAGTACAAGTTATTATCTATTAAAAAATGACGTTCAATTATTTGACATTAAACGATCATATCCTTAATATTTCATAGTACTCGAACCCGAGACCTCAAGTAATAATAATATCTGCTTTACCAAATAAACATACTATTTAATTCATTTGATCCGTTAATAGAATTAAAAATAATGATAATATTAATTATGAGAATTTAAATTGAGATCTAAGTCTAATATTTATAGGTGAGATCATCTTGCGTTACGTGACCTTCAACATGCTAATAAACAAGCTATTGAACATCAAGAGGGCCTGAGTTTTAGTTGGATCTTGATTCATTTTATGTTAGTATATCAAAACTCTACATACTATTCATTCACTCGGTCCGAAAATTAAATTAAAATTAACGATAATGGTAATATTAATTATAAGAATTTAAATTGATGATATATAATTTTAAAACTTTACTATTTTTATGGCCCATTTTATGAGAAGAGATCGATATATATATATATGAAGATTCTGGTTTCTGTTGACTCCACGTTGCCTTTTGGGCCTTTCATTTGCTCTCATTGAAAGCTACCCTTTTTATTCCTCCCAGGGAGGCCTCTTCAATTATTACCAAGAGATTCTTAGATTGAAACGATCAGAGGAAAAGAACATGAGTTCAGTTATTACCGGTAATCTCAGACCCGCGATTTTACCACGCCAACTCGGTAAAAACTCAGCTCATTGCTTGTTCAGAGTTAGATCCTTCACCACTTCCGTTTCCAGAAGAAATTTAACCTCGAAAATTCGCCTTTCTTCTACTATCTTTGTTGAAACCAAGCCTACGGTATGCAATATCAATTCTCAGAAAAACGGGTAAGTGTTGATGCCAAAGATATTTGTCTTATTGTTATTTCTTAGTATTATTACCGATTCTTTTGCAGGCACCGGCTGCGGTGGAGAAAGAGGATGGTGGCGGCGCCAGTGGTTTAGCATGTCCCATTTGTTATTACCCATTAACGGGGATCAGTGATTCTCCTTTATATGTGTGAGTTGCTGTTGTCATTTTTATTGCTATGCTATGTTTCTGTTCTTGAATTCTAACTCGAGTTTGAATTTGGAATGGAACAGGGGAGCAACAGTAGGGTCTAATTTGCAGTGTAACACTTGCAAAAAGACTTACTTTGGTAACCAAACACATCTTGATCTGGTTGTCTCAAGTGGGTCTAAGCAATATGATGAATCCATGCCGCTAGCCACCGAATTTTTCAGGTTAAAGTGGTGTTTTCATTCATGGTTAAATCTTGATTTACATGTGATGTTTATATTCAAGTTGAGTTGGTTTAGGTTGGACATTATTCTGTTGTTAGGTGTTACTTGTTACCGCATGTTCTCCTGTCTAATACTGATCCGAATTTGTTAAGTAGTCTGGCAGACTATCTTTATATTCAAGTTAATCCTCTCCACCCATCTCATGCCACTTCGGTTTATATTGAATAGAGTCTAGGTTCTGTTTTGTTGTTATTGCATGTTCTCTTCCCTTTTACTTATTTTGATTTTGTCAAGTAGTATGCTCTTATTGTCTGCAAATGATGGGGCCTGTTAAAGTAGTGTTTGTTCACATAGGTTGAAATCTAGATCTACTTATGGTCCTTTTATTTAAGTTGGTCTTTCCACCTATTATGGATTTGTTTTAAGGTTGACGATGTCTTTAGTCTTTACTATCTTTTTCAAGAGGTCTTTGTTGGTACAAGCTCTAACAACATTTCGTGTCAATGAATGGTTGTTTTGGTTTCGAAATGAAGTTCTGAATCTGTTGTTTAACACTACATAGTGAACTATTTTTGATATTGTTACTGCTTATGCCTTCAATTGATTAGTACATGAGCTTGATGTTATGTCCTAAGCTTGTTTTGCTTTTATCTTACTTGTCTGTTGTATGTTGGGATCATTTTCATAACCAGGACTCCTGTGATATCGTTCCTCTATGAGAGAGGTTGGCGTCAAAATTTTGTATTTGGTGGCTTTCCAGGCCAAGAACTGAACTGGCGTAATATACATTGAATAGTTTCTCAATCCACACCATATTGGTTTACAGTCTTCCTATTGATTTGTTGACAACAGCATTCTAAAGATTTGCCTACACCCCTCAATGAATTATTGTATTTTTTGGAGGTCTAAGGACCATATGGTTTTATCCTTCGAGAAACCGCGCTTTTTCATGGGGAGGGTGACCATTGCTTTTAAAGTCAGAATTCAATCCCTGCCATGTTGGTATGGGATGATTTTATCCCTCAATAGGAGTCACTAAGTAACTATCAATTTACATTGCAGTTTGATATGGCTAAGAATTACCTGAAGCCAGTGCTAGGTGGAACCATCGTTGATGCTAGTTGTGGCAGCGGGATGTTCACCAGGCTTTTCTCCAAGAGTGGACTATTTTCGCGGGTTATTGCTCTGGACTTCTCAGAAAACATGCTGCGACAATGCTATGACTTCATAGAGGAGGAGGAAAACTTCCCCAAAGAGTATAAGTTTACCTTTAGTTTAAGCTAATCTCATTCGATATGTGAAAGTATATAACTTTAAGTACTTATGAACTTAATGATATATGATTATGGATGTTATGTGTATTTTTGTTTTGAAGGAAAGTGACCTTGGTCAGAGCTGATATCTCTCGACTTCCTTTTGAATCAAGTGCTGTTGATGCTGTGCATGCTGGTGCTGCTCTTCACTGTTGGCCTTCACCATCAACCGCTGTAAGCATTTCTTTTAAATGTGGTGATTATTTTAACCATTCCCATCTTATTATCCCTAATTACTGGCATACACAGACTTACATAATAGACCGACATGGCAACACCTATATTGCTCCGGCTTTTCATTTTATTTGAAGTCCTTGTACACATTCAAAATATGAGTGTCGGGTTTGACCCTCCAAATATATGAAAAAAAATCATAGAATGGTTGGACATGCTTTTTTAAAAGACGTGTCCTTACCCAACACTTTCACAGAAGTTCGAAAGGGGATATCTTAAGGCCTCATTCCTAAAAATGGTGGTAGCAAAGAGGATAACTGATAAGCTTTCACGACTTAAGATTCTTGCATATTTTGTTGGAAATGAGTTCTTTATGCCAATACTACAGTTCTTGGGGTAACAAATACAGACTTTAATGGGGAACTAAAGTGTTGAAAAAGAGAATTCTGCTGCATGGAGAAAAATCTAGTAATGAAATTATCAAAGATCGGGTCAAAGTTATTAATAATGAAACTAAATATCGGGTCTAGTGAGAATATATGTAAGTAAAAAGGTTTAGAAAGAGCAACATTGTTTCTGACAAAGATACTTTAGAAGCTGTTCTTGTTTCTTCTGCTGCTAATGTGTGGCATAAGTCCTTGTTGCTCGAGGGCTTTTATATTTTATATTTTACGCCCATGTTTTAAGTGATTCCTAAATGTCTGGTCTAGGTAGCAGAAATAAGCCGAGTTCTTCGACCCGGGGGTGTTTTTGTTGCTACCACCTACATACTTGATGGACCGTTTGCATTTCTTCCATTTTTGAGAACTTTCCGAGAGGTAAACTATTTCACCTTTGGAATCACATCGATCACTTCACAGGTTTAGTCTTGAACGTTTATCATGCACAACTGACACCCATAAAATCCTTTCCTGAAACAAATTCGTTGATATTTTCCGTAAATGGTATTGAGTTCATAAAATCCTTGTTCATTGTTCTATGTAGAATATCATGGGAATCGCAGGAAGCCATATCTTCCTTTCCGAACATGAACTTGAGGATCTGTGTCGAACTTGTGGACTGGTTGGCTTTACATGCATAAGAAACGGAACGTTTGTGATGATCTCTGCTAGAAAACGAAGCAGCTAAGCATCAGTCTTCCCAATTTACAGGTTCTTATTGCCTTGTAATCTCAATGATTTTGCAAACTCAAATTTGTATAGTCTATAGTGGGTCGTTTCTTTCCTCCTCTTTTTTTCTTCTTAAGTGTATGTTTCTGATGGCCTTGTATTGAAGTATACCCAAGTTTACTCGGCTTGTCATTCAGTTGCTGTTAAAAAGTAATATTTCTTATAGTCCTATGAAGAAGATAATGGAATGTATATGAAACACCCCCAACTCGTACTCGACCCAGATACGAGTC